ATACCGCCCAAACCACCAAAATTTTACAGGAGTTGGAATAAAATTCAAAAATACAAACTTGATTAAAGAGTGTTTATATTCCTATTTTTCGATTTTTTATTATAAAAAAAACAACATCTACAATCTAAATGTATAGGTAAAAACAGAAGGAAACTCCAAATCAAAACATATGGTAAGATAGGCTAAGTGTAACCTTTATATTATTGCATGGGCATCAACATCAAATCACAATCGAATGCGATTATGGATATATAAATGATGCGCCTATAAAATTACATAAGAAGAAATTTGTTTCATTGCAACTTGCAAGAGGGTAGATTTTACGTATATGCTTCCATTTTTATGAATGATGCGAAATTACTACTATATTATTTATCATGATATTGAAACTAAATAATGTTTTTTTTTTAAACACAAATAATTAAAGTCAATGTTCACAACGACCACAGATGAGAACTGCACCAGATTGCCACACCGCATTTCATTGTTTCAGTCATAATCAAACCCCCACCGTTTTGTTTTGTTTTGTTTTTTTGGCTTTTGGGTCAGGTTGATGATTAAATTTAAGCATTCTTATAAATATTGTTTTGGTAAAGAAAATGACATGGTAAGGTAAGGGCAACTTGGCAATGGCAATGAGGCAACCTCGGCCCCCCCACCTATTGTCATTATCGGTAATACGGTGCAAAATATTATATTCTTAATTATAGGCATCAATTTTCCATCTACAGTTTCATAATAAGCTTGAATTTGTGAAAGTCTCTAATGAAAATTGCTTGAAGGTGATCTTTGACCAGTACCAATAAACAGACATCACTCATAATAATAATATAAACAATATGTATTAATAAGATTAGAAAGATGACTTGAATCCATGCATAACAATTAATTAATATCAATTAAATGATTTTGAGGGGAAGAACAGCCTACATGTTTGGTTACAACCACGGTTAATTTTTCAGGAAAATAAATAAAAATTACCACAATTCATACAGAATTCATGTTATAAAATAATAAATAGGCAAAGATCCATTTTCTTTTTTCTTTTTTGATCGATGGTGAAGCTCCATTTTAACAATGTATACGTGGGTTATATTGGAGAAAAGAAATTTCACTGGGGTTCGATCTTAGGTGCCATTTGAGGGAGAATGAGGAATCCACCACCACTGTGATGGGAACCATTGGCATACGTGGTTTTCTTTCATTATAATTTGAGATGAGACTATATTTCCACCTCTACTTCTTTGGCCTGCTATATGTCCTACTTGCCACACATTGCTAGTGTTTGTTTCACAATTCGAAGCATATCATGAAATTCTTATAATTATAATCGAAGTTAAAAACATTTGAAATAATTGAGCTCATGCAAAATACCCACATTACCCCTGTGGTTGATACATGCTACCAAATACTGACTTGGGCAAACAAGGTCAAAGGGTTGTTGTAGGGTGCTGAATTTTGTCAAGGTTGTATATAGCTTAATCAAGACGCATGCACAACATGTAATAATATATATCACTAATAATATTATGTTAAACCATAAGCAATGCCTAATCCATGGAATTCGAGGCCCCAGGCCCAGAGTGGTTGCATATAATTGTGGTGATAACACTCTATTAACAACTCCTATTACTTTTCTGGAACTATATATGAATGCTGATATTATTTTAAGTCAAACACGTATTCCTTTGAGAAAAACAAGCAATTTAAAAATACAAAGCCCTCCAACTTCGGCTTCATCATGCAGCCCACCAAAATTGAGAGACAAATGTATGGTTAAAATGTCCTTCTCTAATCTCCCATACTAGCTTCTATGCATGCCTCAGCATTTTCCACGGCTCTAGACTTTTTCAATCTGACCGACACATTTTTGCACTATGTTGGCTTGTTTTTTGGTACAATATGTTTGTTGAGTTGTTGAAATCACATAATGATATTAGGGGTCTATTGACAATCCTCCTAAACTTGGTTTAACTAAAACTTATAATTTGTAGACAATGCACATCAAAATAAACCAATTGTAAGTCATTGGGGTCACTCAAATGTTGAGGGAAGGCTGAATATTGTGTTAGGATTAGAATCAGTCCAAGGTTCAATTTGGTGATATTGGTTCTACAAGGACAGTTTCACGAACTAACAATATTGAAAGAGATTTTAAATTCGAATCATCTTCTTTGTAGATTAATATAAAACAAAGAAGGTCCGATTCACTGAAATCATTTTGATCAGATGACTTTTAATCCTTGCATTGATCGGCTGATTTTTATCTTTGCAGTTGTAGTTGAATTTTCTACAATTGTAGTTAGTTCATAGCTTTCAATTGAAGCTGGAATCTACAGCCGGCGGAGTATGCATTTTACAAATATAAACAAGAAATTGAACTCTAGCTCATAATCATATATGCAGAAAAGATGTTTGTCTCAAATACAGTCAACCAAAATGTCCCTTTCATATCTATTTTTTAAGTTTTGGAGCATCTGCTAGACTAGAGAGAAAGAAAGCTAACAAAATCGTGGGGTGCAACAAGTCATTGAAAATGCACCTCAACTTCCCTTCAATTAACATACAAAATGGCAACCAATTAAGACTTGCTTCCCCATCTACTCAAGCAAGCAAGCCTCTTAGGACTAAAGAGGTCACTTTGCTTAGTCTTGGACTCTTCGTAATATTTTGATCATCATCTTCTCCATTCCATCTGCCAAAAGCGAAATGCCTATGTATGTTTTTTAGTACGTAGAGTGTTTGTATTCTATTAGTCGAAGATCGCGAAAATGTTGAAGTATGATTCCATACTTGCCAGAAGTTTCAGTCGGCATGAGCAGAAGAAATTGAGATATGGAGCATTTGTTTGCTGCTTGCTCATGGCATTGTGCTTCTGCACAGTGCTCAAGCCTAATTTGAATCCTCTACCAGCTTGTATGTCCATTTATGTATTCTCAGAATTTTCTCTAATGTTAACTTTTTTTTTTTTGGGGTAACCTTCTTCTGTTTCATACAAGAGTTTCAAAGGGACCATGCTTAGCATATTGATTTCTAACTTTGATATGCACTCAATCATGTCACAGTGAAATTGCAGCGGTCAATGGGGGTCAAACACAAGATACTGGCACTCTGGGAAACAAACAGCACTCAGCAAGTAATTAAAAACATGCTTGAATATCCGGAGATAAGCACAAACACGACGGAGGAGTTTGAAAATGTGACTTCTCAAGTAGCAGCAGATTCTGATGATCTGCAGCAAAACGCAAGCACTCTCACTAATCCCATTGCAAGCAGCAGTCAGGCTGAAGAGGCAAAGAGTAAGGACCCCTCTGATTTTCTTCATTTCCTGCGTATTTACTTAATAATGAGAAAATGTTCATTCTGATTTAAGGCCGTTTAAATACTCATCCTGCAGTTGAAGAAGTGGTGACAAAGAATTTAGGGCCACTTTGCAACACCATGGAAGCAAAAACTGAATTTTGCGAGATCAACAAGGATGTTCGTGTCGATGCGAAATCTTCGTCAGCGTTTGTTGTTTCATCTCAAATTGGGAATAGGCCCTGGAGTATAAGACCATATGCTCGAAAAGAAGACGAATTGGCGATGAGCCATACTCGAGCATGGTCAGTGAAACCAGTCATTGGTGATCTGGAAATCCCTCAATGTAACCGAAATCATAGAGTTCCTGCCATCTTGTTTTCAAATGGTGGATATACAGGAAACCATTTCCATGAGTTCACTGATGTGGTGATCCCTCTCTTTATCACTTCTAGAAAATATGATGGAGAAGTTCAATTTCTTATTTCGGATATAAAACCTTTTTGGGTAACAAAGTACCAAGCAGTACTAAAAGGACTGTCCAAGTATGACATTATCGACATCGACAAAGAAGATGTTGTGCATTGCTTCCCAAGCCTAACGGTTGGCCTTAAAAGACATGAAAAGGAGCTGAGCATTGACCCTTCAAAACATTCATATTCTATGAAAGACTTCAGAGAGTTTCTAAGAAACAGTTTCTCATTGAAGAAAGCCAATGCAATCAGAATCAAAGATGGTCATCAACGAAAAAGGCCCCGGCTTCTGATCATACCAAGAAAGAGAACAAGGTCGTTCACAAATACAGGGGAAATTTCTAAAATGGCTAGACGCTTGGGATTCAAGGTGATTGTTGCAGAGGCTGACATTAACTTGTCAAAATTTGCAGAAGTTGTCAATTCTTGTGATGTGTTAATGGGAGTTCATGGAGCTGGCCTTACAAACATTCTTTTCCTTCCTGAGAATGCAGTTTTCATTCAAATACTTCCCGTTGGAGGGTTCGAATGGCTCGCAACGAACGACTTTGGCGAGCCTTCACAGGATATGAATCTCAAGTATTTGGAATATAAGATAAGCAATGAGGAGAGCACGTTGATACAGCAATACCCACTGGATCATGCTGTTTTCACTGACCCTTACTCAATTGGAAAACAGGGGTGGGAAGCATTCAGGTCAATATTTTTGGAGAAACAAAATGTAAAGCTTAATGTCAATAGGTTTAGACCTACACTGTTGAAAGCCCTTGAGCTTCTGCATCAGAATTAGGCCATTGTTTAATTTCTAAATGTTATTTCCTTGTTCTGTTTTCATTTTCATTTTGTCTCCGTCTCCTGGCCAAGTATTCAATATATTGTATTGTATACTATAGATAGAACTTGGGGGAGATGCATTCAGAAATGGAGATTAAATTAATTGGTTGTTGTTATTGATCACAAAAATTCTTATGAAAAGGTGTCGCCAGACAGAAAGCCAAACCCAATGGGCCAAGGTGATGGAATAAAATATAGACCAGGCTAGGGGTACCCACAACTTAAATCTGACTCAAATGGTGAGGCCCAGATAGAAGACAGAAAAGAGAAGGTTGTGGCCTGATACTTGACATAACAATACGCATGAAATGGGCTTAACACACTAGAATACAAATATGACCCGACCCGAATTAATCACAACATAGCTATTATTATCATTAGAAAAACATTATTCATCTGGATATGATATTTTGATCTGAGAGACTACTCTGCACTATCTCATTCTAGAGACTACGTCGGACCATCTACATCGGAGATTATGAAATTTCGCTGCAAAATTGACGACATGGGAGGCCGAGATGGACCAAAGCTTCGAAGATTGGGGTTTCTGGCGAGGCGAGCATACGAACCGTCGTCGTCGCCCTTGGTGTTCGCATCACGACGATCTCCGAGAAATTTGCATGAAATTTTCGAAAGCGTAGCGTAAATCTCTACCCTCTTCTTTGATTTCGTCAATCTCTAGCACATCTCAAATTCTAAACCCTGACCTAGCCCTAACCCTAATTTACCATTTCATTTTAGCTTGTTTTAGATCGAAGAAATTTGTGCATACGAACCGTCGTCGTCGGCCTTAGTGTTCGCATCACGAGGAGGGATCTGCTAGAAATTTGCATGAAATCTTCGAAAGCATAGCGTAAATCTCCCACTCTCTTCTTTAAATTCGTCAATCTCTAGTCTAGCATGTCTCAAATCTTAATCCCTGACCCAACCCTAACCCTAATTTATCATTTCATTCTACCTTGTTTTAGATGGAAGAAGCTTGTGATCGGCCTCGATCTCCGAGACCTTGGCTGGGCCGTGTAAAGAGAAGCATCTTCAGGCCCATTCATTGCATAGCTTCCACTTCCATCAAGATCTTCAGGTGAGTGTTTGAATTTGTGATTTTTTTAATTGATTGGTTTCTCGTTCGGACTTGAAAGTTTTTGTTTGGACTGTGCTTAAGAGTGTTGGGGAACATGACAATTCATAAGGTGCAATGTTTGTTGTTACTATTTATTGACCTTTATCGTTTGCGTATAAATAAATTATGTGTGGCCAAAACTTTGCGATGGCTTTCTTCAATGCCCAAAGTTGGCATGGTCCTTTTAATCTTGTTTTATTAGGAAAACGCATCTTTCATGCATTATTACTAGTGTGGTTTCTCACTCCGAAGCAAAACGAACATGGAATTGTACTTGGTACTTCTGTTTGAATTGTGTAAGTTGTTTGTTGCATGGTATGTCTTAGCTGCAGCAATTCTATGTTTTGTATGTTTACTTTGTTAGAGTAAGCGAGAGAGCTTTAGAATTAGAAGCAATGTGTGAAGTAACTTTCTGCAACCTTAAATTAAATCCCAATATCTAGGAAGTAAAGTTATAAAGTTTTGATGAATACTGAGGTAAATAAGCGGGTTTGCAGTACAGTATAGCAGCCTGAAGATGGTAATGGACATAGTTTAATAGAGCAGCCTGTAGATGATAATGGACATAGTTTAATAGAGCAGCCTGTAGATGATAATGGACATAGTTTTGTATGCTATGTCAAATTGATGCAGCAGGAGTAGAATGTCGCTCAAAATCATAATGGATTTTGTTGATGTTAGGGATTAATCACTTCCCGGGAGAGAACACGAGGGATGAGCGACGATTGACCTACGTAAGTTTTTACTAGTCATCATCGGCTTAGCCACTTGCTGAAACCTCCCTCTGTAGCTGATTGAATGCTTGGATAGCCACTTAACTGCCCACTATACTTCCTGTAACTGTGTTAGTTATGACTCAAGGCGGCTACAAGTGTCCTAAAAGGCTTGTGCCTTAATATTAACGTCGTGTTTATGGGGTGAAATTTATAGCTACAATAATATAGGTATAGTATGAAAATGCCATTGAGGGATCTTATTTTTCAGTCCTAGTAATAGGAGTCTTATATTTTACATTGTATGGACTTCCTCTGTAAAGGTTTCTGATCATATGTTATGTTTGCTGCGGGCCCTATTTTAGCTAGTTGGCTGTGTTTAGTACTTATTGGGTTTTTGTGTCTAGGCCCAAACAAATCGGTTACACCACCAGTAATGAGTCATTCTATATCGAGGGCCTTGTATATGTCCCTTAGGTGAGGTCCTATCTCTTAACTGTTGGATAAGGCTAACGAATTTGATCCAACGGTTAAGAGATAGGTCCTCACCTAAGGGCCATATATAAGGCCCTCACCATAGAATTCTTGCACCAGTAATTGCAATTTGGGCCTAATATTTCTGATATCAATTTTTGGGTCCAATAACTATCGATTTTGGGGCTCAGTAGTTCCGCAATTTTGGCACAAAATCTGCTAACTCGTTCCAAGAATTTACACCTGTGTATATTTTATCGGTTTTTGATCTGTATTTTTTTGCCAATACTTGATGTTCCTTTCTGCAGCTATGCTTCTGTTCATATGAATTAATTTGGTTGTTATCTATCTTTTTGGAACAGAGACCTTTTGTAAAGCTTCAAAATGCAAAAAGGGCATTGACTACAGGGATGGTAGCGACTGAGAAGGCTTGGGATCTTTAGATGATAATGATGATGAAGAAAGCGACTTGGCTGAATGATAACTTTTTTGTTTGTTTGGTTTTTGGTGTATGTGCACCTGTTTCTTTTTTCTGCTTTTATCAAGTTTCAGGTGATATAATGAATGAGGACGTTGGTTTACTGAGAAAACTTGATTTGAATTTGAAACATGACACTAACACGACTTAATACCAATATATTGACTATATTTCTAACTTTTTGCCTGTATTAGGCTGAAGTTATTAGCTTTAGGCCAACGTTTGACATATTGGGTCAAACTCGAACTAAAGTTCCGTTCAATAAGCCCACCTTTGTGTTATTGTGCCGAACCTTGTTCAGAACGGAAAATTATTGGTCGGCTTACTGGACCTTATTATATTATAGGCTCACCATCAGGGCCAAGTTCTGGCCTCTCTTTGTACGTTATTGGGCTGATATCACGGCCCATTTGAGCGTTATTGGGCTTACTTTGGACCTTTGTCAGGTTTTTGGTCCGTCATTCGGGCCTGTATTCAACATAGTTGGGCCGATGTCTGGGCTCTTTAATATGTTCTTGGGACATTTGGGCCTAATGAATCGATGCTGGGCCTACTTTGGGCCTTTTGTCAGGTTAATGGGCCGACTGCTCTCAGGTTATTGGGCCGAATTCTGGACCCTCATTTTATTTTATGTTATTGGGCCGATATGTGGGCCTTTTTGAGTTTATTGGGCCGCAATCCTGGCCTTTTTGGGTTATTGGGCCCATATGTGGGCCTGTTTTCACGTTATTGGGTCGTTAAATGGGCCTGTTTCACGTTATTGGGTCTATATCTGAGCCCATTTGAGCGTCATTGGGCCATTTTCGGGCCTTTACTCACCGTATTGGGTCGACATCTGATCTTACTCACGGTATTGGGCCGATATCTAGGCCTCTTTATCACGTTATTGGGCTAACATCTGGGCCTGTTTTCGGGTTATTGGGCCGATAACTAGGTCTCTTTAATCACGATATTGGGCCGATAATTGGGCCCATTTGAGTGTCATTGGCCACCTTTTGAGCCTTTACTCACGGTATTGGGCCGTCATCTGGCCCATTTGAGCGTTATTGGGCTGCCTTTTCTGCATTTACTCACAGTATTGGGCCGTCATCTGGGCCCGTTTGAGCTTCATTGGGCCGACTTCGGGGCCGAATTCCTGTTACCCTTTTTGCAATACTGGGCCATCTTCTGGGCCTGATTTCGGGCAATTAAACGGACCTGTCGGCCATATTGTGGGTCCGTATTCAAGTTATTGGGCCAGTCGAGACCCGTTTTCTTAATATTGGACGATTTCTGGGTCTTATATTATTATGCAAATTTCACTTTTGGGCACACTTAATGCAAACCTTTTGGCTCAAGTAGTTAAATATGGGGGCAGTTATATTAAATTTGGCCTTAATAACTTGCAATTCTCTTAATCGCCTCATTGATTCCGTGCCCATAAATCTGAGATTGCCGCCCAATTTCGCTTGTAGCCATGAATTTGCCATCAACAATACTAACAAGTTCGATGATATTGAAACACTTAAATCGGTCTTACTGGGACTTACTGAACCTTAAATTTTGTAATGCGCCTAAAATCTAAAATCAAAAGTAATGCCATTTGCCTAAGGGGTCGATTTAAGAGCAAGCTGGACCGTTCACTCTGGCTTTTTATCTATGTACACAGTCGATTTTTATGCCTGATCAGTTATCCCGGGTTAGACTCCTAACATGTAATCCAGCCATCTTAAAAGAAATTTAAATATCAACTGCAAATGAAAAAAAAAAAATCTACTTAAAGAAATTAAAAAACACTTGGAAAAATCCATGGCGGCCCGTGTGGTCCAACTCTCTTTCCCATTTGACTCTCATCCTTTGCCTTCATTTTCCCAGCGCCCAAACATACATGTGAAAGGAGAAAGGATGAGAGATGAAAGAGACACCCAGAAACCATGCAATGCAGAAGAAATTTTTTTTGCAAACAATGATGGAAATTTGAAAAACACCTTCAAGAGCGAAAAAATAAGCAAGGCAATGTAGAACAAAGTAACACACAATTGGATAGCTGACCCAAAAAAAAATAAAAATCAAGGCATGTAAAACCAAATGATATCACCTTCATGCTTCACAATTTAAAAAAAAAAAAGGTTTTTAAAATTATAAAATAAAAAAATAATAATAATTTAGTTGGAGCAAGAAAAAAAGGAAGAATGAACGCATTATAGAGGCAGGAAAGAAACCTGTGAAACAGGGTTAAAGTCTGCCAAGAACAAAGAAAAAAGAAAGAGGGGGGGAAGCTAAAGTCTGCCAAGAACAAAGGGTCTTTTCTCTATACCCACTAATATATATACACACACACACTCATGTACTAGACGCTTCAAACAGAGGCCAAGCATGTAGATTATGATGAAAGTCACGGTACGAATAAAGTAGGGTGTGTGTGGTGGGGGGGAAGAAAACATCAAGGTTTTTTAAAAGCATTAAACCAAGAATCACCTCTGGCTTCACTGTGGTAACTAAATGGCTAAACACCTCTAGATTCACTAACTCCTGGTCACCTGAAAAAGTAATCATTGCCAAATCAATTTTGTGCATAGGAATGTAAAAATGACACCCACTGATGATTTCTATTAATATAAAAGAATTACAGAAAGGAATACAAAATTTACTCGCAGTCCTCAAACCATATTGTTATACATATATATATATAGAGAGAGAGAGAGACACACACACTCATGTACTACACACATCAAACACAAACCAAGCATGTAGATTACGATGAAAGTCACCGTATGAAGAGATAAAGTAGGGTGTGGGAAAGAGAATGGGTACGCAAAAAGTGGAAGCATAACCGTCAGGTAAGATAACCTGCTTGGATGCATAATTGGACTTCAAAATGTGAGGCTTTCTGCATTATAAGCATCACTGCCCATAAGGCCAGCAAACCACAACATGCGAGGCGTGCAGCATAATAGATTCTACAGAGATTTAAAAATTAAGCCAGATACTCTCAAGCCCTAAACTGAATAGAACAAAAAACTGTCCAAATTATAAAATGAAAACCTAAAGGGCATAATACCCTAGAGCTGTTAGCTCATGCATGTTCCATCAACAAATTGAAAACTGAATGCTCGTTTTCAATCAACTTAACAATGGTTAAAAACTCTAAAAGTAGCTTATTTAAATATAAAGTACAGAGGCTAAAGTAAAAACGAAGTCAGATATATGAACAAAATTCCATGTATCCTATTTCATATCAGCAGATTAAATAGGTTAAATTAATCAAAATATTCCAATAAAAAATAGTCAAAAACTGCCTACACAGGGGACATTGAACCTTCACTTTCTCTCCAAACAATTACCTGAAATTCTTGCTACTAAATGAACGGAGATCCTTTCTTTATTCCAAAACGAACAAAATAAGCATCGTGTAAACCTAGCACTCAATTAGGGTTTAAATAATCGATTTAGACTCTTACCGTAATCTGACACAGATCCTAATCCGCGCGAAATAGCTACGTTGTGGATTGTTGTGATCTTCATCGTTGACGCAGAGACCAACGATCTCACCATTCTCTCTGCACCATCCGAAACCCTAAATCATTGCCTTGTTCGGATCCGGATCCGGACAAGGCAATAGCAACGATTTACGGTTCGTATTTTTCCATAGGGCTCCATTCTCGAATCTCGTCCACCCAGAGACGCGAGCGACCGGACCTGGGTTTCTCTTTCATCTGGACTCTCTCTCGCTCTCTCGCTCTCTCGCTCTCTCGCTTACAAGTTAGCTCTGAATCAGATTGTAGAAATTAGTGGAGTCGGTCACAGCCGGTTTTCTTGTTATAATTTGGGCCTCTTTGGTTCTTGTCCTCGTTTTGGGCTTTCTTATATGAATTTCACCGACCCAACAAAATAAGAGTAATTTTTTTTAGAGACAAAATAAGAGTAAATATTAAATAAAAAACAATATTCTTCCTTTTATTTTTATTTTTTTTTGTCGAACTTCCTTTTATTTTCTCAAGACTAGTCTCTCTACACGCGCTTCCGCGCCTGCGAGAGGGTTTTTTTTTAAAAAATTTAAATTTATTTTAAAATTAAAAAAGATAATGGGTAGTTGTGTTCCATAAAAAGAGAATCTATTATCTGATTTTTCTTTTAATTATAAATTTTTTTAACATGAAAAAGTATGAATTTACCATGTTATCCTCATTTAATTAATAATTTTAATTCTTAATGTTTGCATTAACCAAGGGCATTTTCTGGTATTTTGAATGTTTCACCATTCTCTGCCTTTTGCTTTATATATATAGATAGATATATGCATTTTGTTCCCTTTTCCATTATTAAATCCATCTATAATTTGTAAGTTTATTTTTAATTTTTTACGCATTACGTGGGCTAAATCATTTTGCAAGTTTATTTTTTATTCTTTAAACTTCAAATATTGGTTTTTACTATTTTATCCCTTGTTATTAATAATGTTGTTTTTTAAGATTTTGGTTAATACAGAAACAATGCCACAAGGAAAGATGAATGCAGCCAAAGACAAGAAAATCACTGCTGAGTGTAGAAGTATTAGTTCATCTTGCATTTTTCCTGCCATGTACAAAATGAGAAATATATTCTGCCCAAAAACAAAAGAGAGAAATATACAAGTAGAACAGATGCAAAGAACATCAATTGACCTGCCAGTCAGCAGCACTCAACTGATTCTGAAGAGTCAAGACACCTTAAGAAACTTGATCACTCTTTTTGTTCAGTTGAAATTTTAACTCTCCTGATTCGAGTTTTTCGTACCAGGGGGAATGCCGGAGATCCTAAGAAGATTTATGATTTAATTATTGCTATTTTTACTGAAATGGAGATGTGTGGATACTTTCCGTTTCTTGGGTGGCTTGATTTGGTTTCTGTCATACTAGGTAATTTAGTTATGCTGTTATCTGAACTTATTTAGCTCCCTTTTTTAGTTTGGATTAGCCTCTATGATTTTATGAATATATGCCTATGTATTCAGGTTATCAACAAACTGCTTATATTTGAATTGACTACAACTAATACAGATCAAAACATTCAGGTTAGCCTCCATATATATATATATATATATATATACCTCCTTGCCCTACATCAGATTATCTTATTGATCAAACATTAAGGCTTCCCTATGTCATCTTGAATAGAATTATATTAGTTGAGCAAAAATGAAGCATGATTCTATACTTGCCAGAAGCTTTGGTCACCATCAGCAGAAGAGGTTACGATACGGAGCATTTGCTTGCTGCTTGCTCATACCATTATACTTTTGCACGGTGCTCAGGCCTAGTTTGAATCTATTAGTTTGTATGGAAAATGTTCTTCTTCTTCTTCTTCTTCAGCCTTTAGCCTATTTTAACCTACACTTTTTACCTTCTTCTGTACAAAAGTTACAAATGACCAGATTAACATGATATGTTTGAGCAGCTATAGTGATGTCTAAACTTCCATTTACTCGCAGGGAATTTGCAGCTGTCTGTGGGTGTTGGTTTGGAGATGCTGCAAGTCGAGCAAACAAACAGCCCTCAGCAGGTAATCAAAGGCAAGCATCCCGATCAGAAGATACGCACTCCCACTGGTCTCATTGCAGAAAATGGTCCACAAGCAGAGACAAAGAGTAAGGACCCTTATGCTCTACCACTTTTCCAAGTGGCTGATATCATTATTTCCTACTTACTTTCCGTGGGGTTAAGGTTTATATAGCTCTAAACTTCTTGAAAAGTACATAATTCGGAAGTTGTGATTAAACCATTCATTCTGCAGTTTCAGAAGTCGTGACAAAGAATTTGGAGCCAATTTGCAATGTTTTGGAACCAAGAACCAATTTTTGCGAGATCAGCAGGGATGTTCGGGTTGATGGAAAATCGTCGACAGTTTCTATTGTTTCATCTCAAATGGATGTGTTAGCAGGGAATAGCCCCTGGACTATAAGACCTTATGCTCGAAAAGAAGACAAAAAGCCAATGAATCACACTCGACCATGGTCAGTAAAACCAGTCATTGGTGACCAGGAAATCCCTCGATGCTCCCGAAATCATAGTGTTCCAGCCATCTTGTTTTCAAATGGAGGATATACAGGAAACCATTTCCATGAATTTACTGATATAGTAGTTCCACTCTTTATTACTTCTCGAAAATATGATGGAGAAGTTCAGTTTCTTATTTCGGATTTATGGACTTGGTGGGTTGCAAAGTTCCAAGCAATACTAAAAGGACTTTCTAATTATGAGTTAATTGACATTGACAAAGAGGCAGTCCACTGCTTTCCAAGCATAACTGTTGGCCTCAAAAGACATCCAAAGGATCTGACCATTGATCCTTCAAAACATTCATATTCTATGAAAGACTTCAGAGAGTTCTTAAGAAACACTTATTCATTGAAGAGAGCTAATGCAATCAGAATCAGAGATGGTCAACGTAAAAAGCCCCGGCTTCTGATCATATCAAGACAGAGGACAAGGTGTTTCACGAATCTAAGACAAATTACTAAGATGGCTAGAACCTTGGGGTACAGGGTAACTGTTGAAGAAGCAGACAGGAATATGTCAAGAATTGCACAAGTTGTGAATTCTTGTGATGTGTTAATGGGAGTTCATGGAGCTGGCCTCACAAACATTCTTTTCCTTCCTGAAAATTCAATTTTTATCCAAATACTACCAATTGGAGGGTTCGAATGGATTGCAACAAACTACTTCGGAGTGCCTTCCAAGGGTATGAATCTAAACTACTTGGAATATAAAATAAGCAAAGAGGAGAGCACACTGAAAAATGACCCTCACACAACTCCAATAAGAGGATGGGAAGGATTCAAGTCAACTTTTCTGAATGCGCAAAATATGAAGCTTAACGTCAATAGGTTTAGACCCACTCTGTTAAAAGCTCTTGAACTTCTGCATTATTAAGCCTTTGGTTAGTTTCAAGAGGAAGATGGGGCCTCTGCATACTTTTTCCGTGTTCTTTTCTCCGGGTTCTTTATGTTATTCTAGCCTAGTATTATTTACCAAAAGGGAGTTCATACGCGTTCCCGTGTTCTGATGATCAACCACACACCACCAATCATGATTCACAAAGACATGAATTTAAAATAGAAAAAATAAAAGGAAAGAAACTGGACAATAATGAAAATAATGGAAATATGAATAAAATAAACAAAATTTCTATATTGCTTATCCAGTACGGTGTACCAAAAAAAATCGACAGTGTTTCTTTACAAATACAGCCCTAACTCTTGCGTGAAAATGTAGGAGTTTTTTTTTTCTTTTCACTTTACCAAGACTGCGCCCTACTCAAACGAATATATACAAAATGCAGCTCCTTGACACAGCAGTAGACATGGATCAATGTGATCTGTAAGCTGCGGCTAAAAACCTGTTTACAATAACCTGCAACTTCTACAGAACAAGGTCCATTATCCATACCCAATGAAGAATGTGCTCAATCACCCCTTTCCAAAAGTATGGGTGGTTCTACCAATAAAGAATGTTAGATATCACCTCTTTCCAAATATGGGTTTGCACAGGCCGGCACCAATAATAGATTCTACAGAATGTAGCTTCTATTCCGGAGGAAGCTCAACTGCCTAGAAGATTGACATTCAAATTTCATACACCCAAGCCTTCGAGGATGGACCAATGTCCAGCAGCTCTTTACCGCTGCTTGTGCTTTTGATCATATGCTTAACTCCACTATATGACAAGCAATGCTTAACCCCACTTAGCACTATCAAATGAAGTCCTTTTCTGGCTTGTCTTTTTACTCTTCTTTAGAAGCATTGACATATGGTCAATATCTGTGGAAGATGAATGCCTCTCACCCTTTAACCAAAGCACAGCCTCAGCAGCTGCATCTTTCTCTGCTTGTTTCTTACTATTGCAAGGCTGCCCTACAAAGTTCAACCCATTGAAGATCACTGTAGAACAGAACTGGTTGTTTTTCAATTGTTTTGTCTTGTAGGTGGGTGCATCATGTCCGGCTCTGACAAGCAAAGTTTGCAGCTGATTTTTGGAATTATTATTAGGCCCACCTTTATCACCAACCGTCAAGGTGCCAGGTTTAATCTCTTTTGTTGCCTTCTTTGAGGGTACTGGCACCTTGCGGCCAAAGACAAATCTACCCTCACATTGGTCCTCTGAGACCAGTAATCTTAGCGCTGATAAGAGGTGAGTATGAGACTGCATATCCAATTTGGGATTGAGGAGCTGCTTGCAAAGACATCACCATGTTAGGGAGAGAGAGAGAGAGGGTATAGATTCCAAGTGTTAAATTCAAGAGCTATGACAAATGGTGAAACCAAATACAAACCTTATTATGAATCAGTTCGCCAAGCTCCCCTTTTAAGAAAATATATGTATTTGCTAATGCAGGATTCATGAAAAACTCCAAATATCCTCCCAACATCTTCAGGTGCCCATCCTGCCAAAAGCAAGTGGGAGTATTTACTAATTTTTTTCTTCAAGAACACAAATGCAAAGTAACAAGCACAGCCAAAGTCAATGAACCTACCAGCCCGCCCCTGGAGATGTTGCCTCCAAACAAAAGGAGCACAGAATCAGATACACCAGTTGAATCCCGAAGAAATACCGAATTCACTTTCACCTTTTCGTTGAAAACTAGCCATGGGTATGGAATTTTGGGTACCCCAGCATTGACAGAATTCTAATTGATGCAATCAACAATCATAAACAACAGATCAGAAATATTGATGTTTCATTATATGCCATTAAATAGAAAATTTAAAGTAATGCCACAAGGAAACACAAGTGCAGCCAAAGACAAGGAACTAACCGAGTATAGCATTACTTGTCCATCTTCCATTGTTTTCAGCACAATCGACTTCTCTTTGTTCTGTGCAACGTAATTGTAACAATGCAACATACACGATAAATTAGAGAAAGATACACCATTCACAAGCAAAACAGATGCAAGCAACATCTTGTGACCATTCAGAAATTCAACTTAATCTGAAGAATCATGACCCCGTTTATCACAGTTTTTACACGCTTGAACATATCATTTGTGGTATTGTTTTAACTAAATGTGAAGATTACAACACCTTCTATCACACTCTTGCTCAGTTGAACATATCACTCTTTTTCTCCGTATAATGTACACAGAGAAAAATAGGCTATTACGACAAACTAAATAATTTCTTTTCATGCGAACAAAACACTTACAAAATAAAAAATATAAGAACATTATAAGGTATGCATAATGACTTACCACAACAGAGCATATTCCAGGAAATAATCCGGCACAGATGACTGCTCGGACAAGGTGTTCATCATGGCTCCATGTATTACAAGTTTCTGTATGATGATCAACCAGACCAGTATCCTTGAGCAAAAAGAAGAACTGCTTCCGAAGAGAGTCAATGGATTTTAGAGTTTGTGCAGAAAGAAAATTCCTCCAGCAGTACTCATTACCAGACTGCACTCTTTCAGCATTTTTCCAACCATCATAAGCTCGGACAAGAGCAAGATGATCACTGTTATCACGGGCAGAGAACTGTGCTTTTGCTGATTCTGCAAGCTACAAAATTTGAAAACAATATGGTTAGTCCTCAGCCTATGCTTGTGCAGAATATGCTGGCATGCCAGGGGAGGGGAGACATCATCAAAATACGCAACAGCGCAAATTAAAACATCAAACTGTAGCAAGGAACACCATATCATACTTACATCCTTTTTGTCAAATGGCATCAGGAATGGATCTCTCATACTAAGGCCTGCAACAACAGTCATTACTGGATCCAGACAGTTGAAGATAGCCCCTAATATGAGCGTTTTTCCAAGTTTAGGCTCAACAGGAAGCATTGACAGGTGGCGTCCTGCACATCATACAATCATCAGTTAAGCTGTCTGACTTGCAGACAAAGAAAAACACATATTAAAAAGCTTTGATAATCAGTCATCATCACCTAACACTGTCAGATCTTCATTATCATCTAAGGCCCCAATAATCTTCAAATACTCAATAGCATTTTGAACCTACAAAAGAAACAAAATGCAGAATACTAATATGAAGATCTTCTGCATAGATAAGACCGATAACATAAGAGAAATTATATCTTAATTCACATGTTAATTTTAGGTAAAGTTCAAAAGCAATACAATACTATCAACAGTCTCTCATGCAAGTATTATGAAAAGGCATAAACTGGGAGTAGTCAGATAGAATTTTTACCGATAGATGTTCTGGCGCCTGTAAGGCCTTAGATAGGAACTCTGAAATACTTCCAAGTTGCAAACTTTTGATTTGTAAACATAAAGACTGCAATGGCGTCCTCAAAAGTTCAGGTAACTGATAATCAGCTAAGGCATCATATACACATCTGGGGTAGAGATGGTAACACTCGCCAGGTTGAACACGACCAGCTCTGCCTCTTCTCTATAGATTAAAGGTTTTAATTAATACTAACAACCCATGTATTTAATTTCCATGTAATATATCAATTGTGTCACATGTGGTTACCATACAATCAACAAAATTGCAGAGTTTAACTAAGAAGCAGAAACCTTTGGCAATCAGTACAAAGTGATGCCTTGCATTATATCAAAAGATCCAGCATGAAGTAGATAAAATAATCAAATTGATATTGAAACTGGCAAAACTGTCTTACTTGCCGAGAAGCAGCCTTTGAAATCCAGGATGGAAGCAAACAGGGAGTGTTATTTAGTGCATCATATGATGTCTCTTTTGCCTTTCCACAATCAACCACAAAAACAACATCATTGATAGTGATACTAGTCTCAGCCATGTTTGTCGCTAGAACTATTTTCCGAATTTCATCTTCTGGCTTATCAAATATTAACCTCTGTTTACAAAAACAAAAGAAAAATAAATTACTAAATACAAAGCCTTGCATGTTGTAACATTCAAAACTTGGCTACTGTCCTCAAACTACGAAGGGGAAGAAATAACAACCCAAAAGTAATTGGTTCCGCATCAAATTGTCAAAATGATAACATCAAAAGATTTCATCAGAAAAATATGAAGCTGTAACGATTTATTAATTAACACGATCTTTAGCAAAATTAACAACATCAATTAGTCTGTATTATAGGATAATGTTAAGATAACTTAATGGATTAAATTTCCAAATTATAGATAAGAAGGCAGAAAGATGGCCCCAATACAGTAACAGGAATCCTCAATAAAAGAATATTTAGGATTGAAACAGTCAAAAGACACGACACACCTTCACATCACATTCCATGGGAAACTAAAGCCTCCCAGTCTTAGATAAAGGCTTTATAAACCCCAACAACCATGCATGATTAGCATATTGTTTAGACAAAAACATTCAACATATTTTGATGAATGGATAATCCCAATATATATGGAGAAGTTTGAAGTCCTTAAAGTGTTTCTCATCACTAGCCCATGATAATTTAACTATATGCATTGAGAACAAAATAAAGGAGAACAGTTACACCACCTGCTCAGAGCTAGGCATAGAACCATGACATGCAAGCAGTAGGACCCTGCTAGGATCTCCTAATAGGGGATGAGATTGGAGTTGATCCTTCAAGGAGTTAATGTCATCCCAACCAGTCATAAAAACCAAAATAGCACCAGGCCGTTCTTTCCTGACTATGTGGCAAAGCAGATGCTCAATGAGGTTGAAACCAATGGAATCAGGATTCCAACAGGAGAGAGACTCTCGAGTCCTTGGACTGTACTCCCTAAAATCAGCAGCTTCAAGTACCTCCTGTTGAAAAAGGGGCAAAAGAAATTAAAATATAATTGAGGGATTGCAACAAAAACTAAGACAAATTTTATATACCTCAACTGTAGAAGCAATTTGGCTCTTCCTTTTTTTGAAACCTGGAGCTTGTTTCTGCATTTTCCACGCCTTTTCTTGACCATAATCATCAATTTGATTGTATTCATTCAACTGATACCTAGTCATTTCTAGAATATTCTCCAGAAAATGTGCTCGGACTGGATATGTAAAACCCTGAAAATAGAGCAAAGCCCAACCCCCAAATAAAAGGTGAGTCCAGTACACCTTATGCTGAGAAAACGACATCATTATGGACCAATTGAACTAAAAGTGCAATCACTGAAGGAATCATGGAATACACTGTAATGGCAGTATCTTATTCTATAGTGCATTGTATAAATTTCATTATTGACCAATAAAATAAAAAATAGGAGACACTAGAGGTCATAGATGGCGTGAAATCAAACGCAGCAAAAGATCATCAGTGGAATTAAGTGGAGTAAATGATTGGTTCAGACTTGAAAGGGATGATAAACAAGAATCCAGCAGTTCACAGAATCTAAGCGAGAAGCACTCAATTTTATGTGATGTCCTAGCTAAACTTACTCATGATTCTTCCGCCACATTTTGAGGCGACAAAAGAAAAGATGCTCTAGAAAAATGCTTTTACTGTTGGATTGGATTTCTGCCCCAAAATTTTATACAGACCACGAAACAGTGGATCACCCATTCTGACAAGAATTAACAATATAAAATATAACTGGCTCCTGGAATCACCTAAGCAGATCATGCTATATGAATCCACAATGATGATGATCATAGATTAGCTACTAGTAAATTTTACTTTAGTTACATGGGACAGATAAAAAAAAACAATAATAAATAAATAAATGAAAATAAGAACTAGTGCCCTGAACTTACAGGAATATGAATCATTGGAGCACCACCAAAGTAGGAAGAGAAAAGCTCAGCATTTAGGGTTGCACTCATCAAAATTAACCTCAACTCTGGTCGACGAGGGAGAAGTTCTTTCAGGACGATAAGAAGAAAATCTGAAACAAATGCAAGAATATGATTAGGTCACATTTGATACACCAATCAACAAATACATTCCAAAATTAAAAATCACCTTCATTCATTCCACGTTCATGAATCTCGTCAACAATAACATGTGTAACACCTCTCAACTTTCTGTCGACAAGTAATCGCCTCAATAATATGCCAGTGGTGCAAAAAAGAAGGCGGGTGTCCCTCCCCTTCACCCCTTCCAGCCTAACTTTGTAACCAACCTTTTACAAAAGGGAGAAGATTTAGGTTCAAGTTGGCTAGATTAGATGTTTCAACAATCTACTAAAACAGAACAAGTAATATGGCAAAGATTTCGAAGAAAAAGCTATGACATCAGATATAAGAACGTACAGATTCCCCCAGTTTCTCCCCTCGCTCTGCAGCAACTCTTTCAGAAACAGCCATGGCAGATATTCGTCTAGGCTGAGTACAAATAATACTACAGGCAGTTCCTCGAGCAGCTTCAATCTCAGATTCTAAAATGTACTGAGGAAGCTGTGTAGTTTTACCACAACCTGTTTCACCTGAGACAACTATGACCTGCTCACAATCATAACCATTTATTCAGTCTACAGCCAAGACACACAGAAACCAACCAATCAATATAATTCACTAAATACACTAAGGGTATCAACACATTTCCTCAGTAGTTGGCAGGAATAATTATTATAACAGTAGCAATAATGACGGTAATAATAATTCTAATCATAATGATAATGATGACGATGATGATGATGATGATGATGATGATGATGGTGACGATGACAATGATAATGGAAATGCGCCTGTAAGTGCTAATAACTTATTTATTAGCAATAGAGATAGTCCTAATATAATATACACTGATAAAACATTGTTCTTTGGAAAAGTCTAAATACAGGAGGAAAACATGAATTGTGAACTCAGCACGGAAACACGGGCCATGTGATATCAATGCACTATGATGGTTATAAAACTGAAACAAGAGATAGTTGTGATGCAGGAGCATCTATGAAGCTCTCTAAGATTACTTAGGCCCGTCAGTCAAGTGGGCTAGGGTTCTATTTACTTTAAATTATTAGTTACTTCTTTTGTTTTCCTATTCTTACTAGGATTTGGTTTAATTTCCTGTTTAGGTTTTCAATTTCCTATGTCAATTAGGTTTCCTGTATTCTAGTATAAATAGGCTATTTAGAGACTCTTGTATTGAGTTTTTGTTGATGAATATAATTTCAGACATCAGTCTATAGAGTTTCTATTGGGATTTTGCCCTAGAACTCAATTATCTTCGTTCCAACTTCAATTCTATTGCTTCATCCTTCTATTCTCTGTATTTTGGGTACGTTTGGGTCAGTGGACAGTAACTTATGGCCGCTGCCCTGCATCAAGTTGTCTAAGTGCTTAAGCCTCCATAAAACTAGTCTTCCACTTGAAGCTATAAATTAAGTGCCTAAGAAAATGCGCCTGCTTTGTTTAGGCAGATATTCACAACTCTTACACTTATAAAAGAATAAGATGTTAGTTAAATGTTAAAAGGAGCTCCAACTTTAAACCCTGAAGACCTTTATTGAGACTGTCTGAAGGACTGGTAAAAGTGCATCCATAACCAGTTATAAAAATCATAAATAGCAACAGCACCTGATTTTCTGATATGGCTTTTAACAGTGCATCTTTCTCCTTATATGCAGGCAGGCTTCTACGAAGTTCAAGCATCTTTTGACCTTCAGGAGATTCCTGTAGAAGACTAGATATTTTCAACATGGATGTATTTAAAAATCGACAAAGCTACTGTAAAGCTAGATAGAAATGAACAAGAACTCCATCTCAAAGTCAAACTATACCAAAGACACAGAAAAACAAAACCTTCACTTATGCAATGCATTGTCTCCTACATATAAATAAAATAAATAATAAAATGCAAAAGGGCTGAACGTCCAGCCAGTATAGCTGTGGCAAGAGGAAGGAAAAGAATAACCTGCCAATGTTGTTGCCTATTACGCAGTTGCAAGCTTTTCCGCAGAAGAATTTTCTCCATGGCATCACTATTCTGTATTGAGGGCTCCTCCTGCTCATAAGGTCCTCCATCATTAACCATACTTCCACTACTGCTTGATCTTGAAAAAGAAGATTCTGATAAATTTCCTGTCTTCATTGGCTTTTGAGATACATAGGCTTTGAGATGAGCATCTACATCTCTATGCAGTCCAAAAGGTAAGACAACCTATACATGCTTCAAATAGTTTAGAACAATATAATTGGGTAGTAGATTATCTTCAACAACATGCACAAAGTCAATTTGGCTGAGAAATAGATGAAAGTACCTCTCTTTGCGGTCGCTTATCATCCAGATCAGGTCTGTAATTTGGCTGAGGAACTTTACTAAATACTACAACTTTTGAATACTGACGGCTGCTTGAGAAAATTAAGAATCAGAAAACACACAAACATGGGCATAGAATAAAGAAAATGTGAATAACTGGTGCACACACTAAACTGACGTACCTATATAAACCCATCCTATTTGCCAGTTCTGAGAGATGCTCAAAATCACGTCTGTCCTTTCTTTCCCTGGACACCACTTCTTGCCCATCTTTGTTGCGAAGAAGCATGGTTAACTTCCATCTCCATTCATCAATGTTTTCAAGGGTCGAACCACCCTACAAACCATCAGCCAGAATCAAATAACCACCATATATATCTATGAAAGTTATATTTCTGTCACGTTAAATAAATAAAGCATATATTTAAAATCACAGAATTTACATTGAAAAAGAGTCGTGAGAAAATTAACAGGTTTCAGCTTCAGTGCTTAAAAGAGTGCTCTACTTTCAACTTCGTTGGCTGTTATTTCAAAGTCCTAAAACGAGTAAGATAATGCAAACACATAACTGATACCAAAGTTCTAGCCTTTGTGCTTTTTGGCCAGCATCTTAGGAATACAATTTCACTTTCTTTTTTTTGGGTAAAAGAATACAATTTCACTTTCATTAGCAGCTGCAGTGGATTTAGAATTAACAATCCCCCAAGAATTACAAACTCAATCAAAGTCGCCAATGGCCATTCTAGCTTCAAAAATTGGAAGATGATGAGGTTAAAGAATTTTTCTTGCTCCTATAAACTTACGTAGATGAAATTTTCATTTCCAAGAGTAATCAAAAGAAGCTTAAAAAATTACTAAACCAAAACAGAGGCTAACTCAATCAAAGTGCTCAATTCAAGCAATCAAGTTTCTAAGAAAATGGGCACGGCAAAACTAACCGATTGGCGCTGAGAAGAACCCCTTTCGTAGTCGGAATCCTCACTAGCGGAGGCGTCTTGGTATGCAAACCGTCCATAACCCAAGTTCTGCTGGTACAAAAAGGGCACCGCCGTACTCCTCAACTGCCTCTGCTTCCAATCAGCCTCCACCGCCCGCGACGAGGCCAGGCACGTGACTTCCCCCACTGGCCCCACGTGACGCGGCAGATAATAACACGCATTCCAATTCTGCGACCGGGCAAGGTAGTGGGTGTGGTAACGGCTGTTCCTCATGGTGCAACCGAAAAAAGACGGCCTTACTGAAGCTATGTGGTGGTGGCGGTGGTTGTGGGTCCTACGCAAAGAGGCCAAAATGGGGGATGAGGTGGTGGTCGGTTTGAGAGACATGGCGGTTGTTCTTATTATATAGCCCTCAAAGAGGGCTGAGTAGGGCATGGCTCTCTCTGGGCGTGGGTGTATGTGTCTGTTGCGGTTGTGGGTTTTTTCAGTTGCAGCAGTTATGGAGCCATTTGCTGATATTAGGGTTTTTGACAGGTGCAATGGATGTCTTTGTGTAGTTTTGGTTTGGGTTATGTTGGTTGGAGAGAAGTGGCGCTGAGAGCATTTACGTCATGACTCTGGAGCTGGACTCTGTTTCCCTTTTATCTATTAAAAGAAAATAGAGATAAAATTACAGTCTAGCCCAAAATGTTTTTTTAAAAAAAATCCAACTTTTCCTTACTAGGGACGTATAGCTCATATGCCCAAACACTCCTTCCCAAAAAGGCCATTTTCGTCTAATTACTCGAGCCATCTCTCTCCTTGTTTAACCTAAAGCCCCACTCTCTGCTTCTAACTCACTCTAGGGTTTCCATATCATTTCAAAATTGGAACTTGGAAGCCTTTTGCCTAGCAAGAAAGCGCCTTTTATTCAGGTACCCTCCACCACGCTTTGAAATTTCAGTTAACGTTAGGGTTTCGTCGATCCCTGCATCCATGGCTTCACCAGCAGTGATCTCCCAACCCCGCTCGTCCTCCAAGACCGAGTCTTATGTCGACAACAAGCGCAAGGAAGACATCCGCCAGGCCAACATCCTCGCCGCTCGAGCCGTGGCAGATGCCGTCCGGACCAGCCTGGGACCCAAGGGCATGGACAAGATGATCTCCGCTGCCAACGGCGAGGTCATCATCACCAACGACGGCGCCACCATCCTCAACAAGATGGAGGTTCTCCAACCCGCCGCCAAGATGCTCGTCGAGCTCTCCAAGTCTCAAGACTCTGCCGCTGGTGACGGTACCACCACCGTCGTCGTCATTGCGGGCGCTCTCCTGAAACAGTGCCACATCCTTCTGTCCCACGGCGTCCACCCGACGGTCATCTCCGACTCTCTCCACAAGGCTGCCATTAGAGCCGTCGATGTCTTGACCGCCATGGCCGTCCCCGTCGAGCTCACAGACCGCGATTCGCTGGTCAAGTCCGCAAGCACATCGCTCAACAGCAAGGTAGTGAGCCAGTACTCGACTCTGCTCGCGCCGCTCGCCGTCGACGCCGTGCTCTCAGTGGTGGACCCCGCGAAGCCAGAGGTGGTGGACCTGAGGGATATCAGGATCGTGAAGAAGCTCGGAGGCACCGTCGACGATACGGAGACGGTGAAGGGACTTGTTTTCGATAAGAAGGCGAGTCACGCAGCTGGTGGGCCTACAAGGATGGAGAACGCGAAGATCGCTGTGATTCAATTCCAGATTTCGCCTCCCAAGACCGATATTGAACAGAGCATTGTCGTCTCGGACTATACACAGATGGATAGGATTTTGAAGGAAGAAAGGAATTACATTCTGGGTATGATTAAGAAGATCAAGGCGACTGGGTGTAACGTCTTGCTGATTCAGAAGAGTATTCTGAGAGACGCAGTTACTGATTTGTCCTTGCATTATTTGGCGAAAGCTAAGATCTTGGTGATTAAGGACGTGGAGAGAGATGAGATCGAGTTCATCACCAAGACTCTGAATTGCTTGCCCATTGCTAACATTGAGCATTTCCGGGCAGAGAAATTGGGGTACGCTGATTTGGTTGAGGAGGTTTCGCTTGGTGATGGAAAGATTGTGAAGATTACAGGGATTCAGAACATGGGTCGGACCACCACCGTTCTGGTTCGTGGGTCGAACCAGTTGGTGCTGGATGAGGCGGAGCGGAGCCTGCACGATGCTTTGTGTGTGGTGAGGTGTTTGGTGAGCAAGAGGTTTTTGATTGCGGGTGGCGGTGCGCCAGAGATTGAGCTGTCGAGGCAGTTGGGTGCGTGGGCTAAGGTGCTGCAGGGGATGGAGGGTTATTGTGTGAAGTCGTTTGCAGAGGCGCTCGAGGTTGTTCCCTATACACTGGCTGAGAATGCGGGTTTGAATCCGATTGCGATTGTGACTGAGCTGAGGAACCGCCACGCACAGGGAGAAATCAACACTGGAATTAATGTGAGGAAGGGGCAGATAACCAACATCTTGGAGGAGAATGTGGTGCAGCCGCTGCTTGTGAGCACAAGTGCTATCACTCTGGCCACCGAGTGTGTGCGGATGATTTTGAAGATTGATGACATAGTTACAGTAAGATAGATTGGATGGTTGTTATTTCATCTGTACTCTATTTCTTTTGAGGTGGATTTCTGTTCCGAATTTTGGTAATGGTACTGGATGTTTACTTTTGATTTGATCTTTGGGTGTTTATTAAGGGATGTTATGGAACTTACCTTTGTCCATGCATCTAGTTAGTCATTATGTATTTCTTTTAACTCTGTCATCTTAAGTTTGCATGCTAATAGAGAAGATGGTTATTTTGTATATCTTGGCTTCCATCACAAAAATTAAGACTCTAATCTATTGATAAACCTCTTCATTGAGCAATGCTAATCCCTTTTCTTGAAGTTCGATTTCATAATGCTGAAATGGGGTCTCTGTTCAGTTTTAGGAGGATCTATGTTTTGGTGATTTGCGTCCTTTGGATTTTGTTCATTCATTTCTTGTTAGGCTCAAAGGAAATTTGTGACAAGTTGTTGCATTTGATATAATCTTTATGCTCGAGTTTGCTTATGGAGTTTGAGTTTCTCCGAATGAGTTGGGGAGTATAGTTGATGGAGGTTAAAGATGAAGAAGATACAGTTCATGTAGGCTCCCAAAAATCATCATGTATGTTTTACGATCTTGGGTAAGGGAGACTCTGAATTGCTTGCTCATTGCTAAGATTGATTTCGTGATCTTTCTTCCACCTCTGTCAATTGCCCAAGGGTGCAGACTCTGTTATGAATCATCCTTGAGGCTGCCTTTCTATGCATTTGCAGGAAACCTTAGTATTTGCACAAATAATTTTAGAGAAAAAGTCTCATTGAATTTACATGTTGAGATGCTCAGGTTATCTGAAACCTGTGCTTACTGCATTTCATCCTCTCACTTTTACCCATGTGTGGTTAACTGTTTCGGGTTCTTTTGTTTTTGGTCAATAACATATCTCATGTTCTAAGCATAAGCGTGCCTATGACGATATAATGCAATCCCATAATCTTCTTTTATATCAGCTTCAAGAAGGGGCTTCTTCAATACTTCCCCTTGGTTAACCACTCTGTTTTCTTCATTTTTACCCCACAAAACTGAGTAGAGACCTAACATGATGAGAAGTGCGCCAATAATCCTGCAATGGAAGAAGGAAATGTTAGGAAGAAAACCAAGCAGTAATAGTTAAACATGTTGTGTCGCTTGTGATATTTGATTAGATTTGGACTTTGTCGTACCCTCCGGAGTATAACTGATCACCAAGAACAAGAGTTGCCATGACAGCAACTAAGTCTGCAAGGGCTGGAAGACAGCAACAAACACAGGGCCACTTTACTGGATACGCCATGTTTAGAGAGCAACAACAATCCCCGAAGCCACAATTCCCTAAAACAAGGCAGATAGTCATAAATTGAGGCTCAAGGGAAATTCATGTAGATCCAATATTTTGCATATGTAGTCATCTAAGAAATGCTAGGAAAATTACAGCATATAGGATTGTAAACAATTCTTCTCCAGATAGGATTTTCCAGTTCTCAAATTCAGTCTCTACGAAGACTCTGATCACCAGGAACTGAATCAATCCGAAGAAGCATGTGAATGAAGTGAGTGTTAGCTTCACCGGGTACTTTTTCAACGTGGGAGCCTGCAAAGTTTTGAACATCACATTCCAGGTCATGAAAACGGTGATTGAAATGGCTAAGTTAGGCATTCATAAGTTTGGTCAGAATAATCATGGGGTGAAAGATGATTTTCGACTGACCCGAAAGACCATCCAACTAGCCCATGCTAAGCAGTGTCCAAGCAGGTAGATGCAACCCCATTTCCACTTCTGCATGTCAGTGCTACTTGACATTTCTTCTGTTAGCGTCGTTCTTCCCTGAATTGGCTGTGTCTGGTGAGGGAGGCCTTTGCAAAGAGTAATAATAGTTGCACCCCGTACACTTGCAATGGTTCCCATAACTTTAGCCAGCCCATCTTTCCTTGTGATGTTAATATGCTCAAGTCTGAGATAGAGAAAGAACTCAAGAGTAGAACTCTTTCCTCAACAAGAAACAAAAACAGAGGAAGAAGTGTGCAGAAGAAAGAAAAGAAGATGAAAAACAGAGCCCTAAATATATACCTTAGAGCCAAAGCCATTAGAAAAGTAATTGCAGGAACCGAGTTTTGCATTGCAGATGCAAAAGTTGGAGACACATAATACAGCCCCAAAAAGAAAAATCCTTGGTTTGCAGTGATCCTGATACCACAAATGACGATTATAAAGACCATTCCATTTTTTATTAAAAGCAAAGAAATAAGCAAAGGGACCCAACGAAAGCAGTGCAATGAGGTTTCTGTAAACTGGGTAAACAACTTTACTTACTCCAATGTTCAATGCAACTCTAGAGACGATATGAAACCCTGCAAAGCAGAGCTGCAGAACAAGCAATGCAATTTAGTTTATATCTCATTTGTATGAACTGAAAATATATTTTGTTTTGCTCCATGAGAGGTGATGAGGTTTGGTAGACAAGGTGAAGGTAAAGCATGTTAGCCAGGTAATCAGAGAGTAGGCGACCAAAGTTTCCCTCCATTGGTCTCAGTCAGGTCTCAGCTTAATCCCATCATCTCCGAATACGGTTTGATACTCTCTATCAATCATAAGGCTTTTTTATTTATTTACTTCCTCTAAAATTAAATTTAATATTAATGGCACTGTGGAAGAAGATTTTGTCTTTTTGGAAAATGGAATCTGCTGCCAAATAATGGTAATGAGGACAAATTCATAATTGGGTTAGGTTAGGTCGTTTGTCCAAAATCATAGTCTCGACTCAGAGTCAGTTTTTCGTTAATAGGTTGGGTTGGGTTGTTGGACAAGAAGATGGAACAACACGATACGAAGAATCAATCAGAGATGGCATGTGAGTCCTTTTCATTATTAAGGAGTTGCAAAACCTAAACATTCAAAAGCAAGGAGAGGAGCTGAAGGGGCAGTATTGTCTTTTCGCATTTCGTTCGTGCTTTCAATCGCTCAAATCTAGACAAGCTTGTAAATGTTTAACTTGGCCTGTGGCTGTGCTGGTTTTTCTTCGGTCACATTTTTAAAGATGAACTTGAGACATGATATTGGAGCTGGTTCCGTTTGCAACTTGCAAGCATACAACATAAACTGGTCAGGTCCAGATTCAAATTTCTTGCATTGGACAAAGTTCCAGAATACTTGGTTGTGTTAGAGCAATACAATTTTAAAACATCTAGCAATATCTGCACCAAGAATCCCAGGCTGCATATATCAAGTTTTCAACAATTCAATGGTTACTTCATGACTGAGCAACTAACCAATGGTGGACAACATATTGTTGAGCTTACACAATTAAAGAAACAAACCCTCACGGTGCTTCATAGCCAGTAGCCGGGTATTCCTTTTAAAATGAATTGGCGCCTAGAACTACTTGTGCCTGAACATGATTATGATTACAGTGCAGTTATCTTTACAGCGCCGTTCACGCACAGCTTCTTTTACAAGACGGCGGCTAATAGTTGAAACAGGTAGTCCCTCCTGCAAAAATAAAATCCAGTCCTTCTAAGTAATTATGTGTCTTAAACAACAGATTAAGTTCAAGATACCTAAGAGGATGTCTTGAAACAATACACAGCCACCATAATTCACCTCTTGATTTACATTTGAATGTGAAGGGGTTTTTGTATTATGCATCAAATCCCACAAATTTTCAGCAACTAAAAAGAAACCTAATAGAAACAGATATCTTCCCCATTTGACACTTTCAAATAAGTAATTGAGGATCTGGTCATTTTGCCAAATAATGTTGTAGTTGACAGTTGAAGACAAACCATTTTACAAGGAGATAACAAAATCAGACCAAAAGGAAAAAAAAAAAAAAAAAGAGGAAGAGAAACTTAACATGCTAGTTCAAAGAAACGTAACAAATTAATGATTTAAATGAAACCTATAAGACAATGGACCTATTCAAATTCCATGGGATGTTGAAATGATCATTAAGAAAGAGACTATTTGCTCTAACCTTCGAAAGTTTTTGAACAAAAGCAACAGCATCACTTGGTCCAATTACCTGTAACAAATTTAGAAACATTGTACTGTTAGATAGACAATAAAATATCAGGAATAAGATCCAAAAGAAAAATGTAAATTAATATGAGGTCCGATTCAGACAAAGATTCTGTATTCTAGGCATATTCCAAGTCCAGGAGAAGTAAAGAAGGAAAACATACCCCCCAGAGGCCGTCACAACCAAGAATTATGAAGTGCTCTCTCTCTGTAAGGTCAAATGAATGAATATCTGGGGTTGCAACAACACCCACCTGCAATTTACAGACAAATTTATCAATTCAATAATCTCTTTGTAAAGTAGAGCAATATGGTTTTTTGTCCCCAAAGCAGTAGATTGATGGAAACATGTAACTACAGGGAAAAGCGTCTAAGAGAGCAGAAAATAAAACCTTTTTGAAATGGCGATCTCCAAAGGCCCTAGAAACTTCAAGGCGCCCCTGTAGTCGTCCATTTGAACTCACATTACCACCAGCCTGAAGCACATTTCAAGCAGAAAGGAGCTCATAAGGTTTCAAGTAGATTCAGATAGAAGTAAATATGCTAAAAGGTTACAAATGAAATACAATGCAGCTGACATAAAAGCAATATACAAGAATATCGCCTTATTTCTTTTCTTCAGCTCTTGTTAATCACAGTTTAGCAAGTCCACATTAAAGGTAAACAAAGCATAATCCCCTAACAATTCAACTCAACAAAGTCTTAATCCCAAGTTTACTTATACACAGCACTTACCTTCTGAATACGAGCACGCTCCTGTGCATAGATAGCTTTGTGTTCCCTTGTTAAAACAATGGCCTTCAGATGACATGCTTCATCAGATCCATTCTTCAATCCCTCAGCAGGAGATGATCTTGCTACCACTGCTTTTGCATCCCCAATGTTAGCAACAAAAACCTAGAAACATCCAGTACCATTAGAACAGGATTTGTAAATTGCCATTAGCTTGTCTTAGGAACACCATAGTCATTCCACTTGGAAAGAAAATTGAATCATCACATCATCTAGTATTCTTCAAGAGAAAGCCTTAAGTTGCTCCTTTTTATATTTTCAAATTTTCAAAAAGACAAGCAGTATCCTATCAAATAATCACGTAATTGATAAATCCACCAAATATTTGCAAATTGTATCCTTAAATGATTTCAGATTACAGAACCAAGATCAAAGAATGCAACTCAGTGATGTTTAAAGCATCATACCACATACAGAAAACAACTTACTAAAGGCCTTAATTTTTCTATTTTAGAAACTCAATAACATACTTAGTACTTACAGTTTTTCCTAATATCCAGACACATACAGCTGTAGCACCGTCCTGCCATCCCCCTGATGACAATTTAAAACCAACACATGAATCCTCAAGTAGATATTAGGAAAAAATTACTCCATAAAATGGTTCACTACGATCTATACTTGCGAAAAAAATGGTAGACAGACAGATAGATAGATAAAAGATATGAGAAATAACTATTTGAGACGCAATATTCTAGTTCAATTAATCTAGGCGAAAGAAAGTTCAAATCAGAAATAGAGGATGAAAGATTCATTCTGTACCTGCAGCACTTTCTTGAAGAAGAGACTCATCAGTTTTCCGAAAACCTAAATTAGGGAAAACAAAACTCAAATAAATACACCTAATAACAAAAAAATCCACACTTGGATGAAATCACTATATGATAAAATAAACAAACAAACAGACTTGCACAGTATTTATACCATCAAGTATGGCTTTCTTGGCTGCTTTTACATCTAACTGCAATGCAACGCAATAGAATACAATTAGACTTCAAGGACAACAGTTTCCACGAAAGCAAAATGCCTTAATTTTCTTTTTCAACATATGTACTAATGTATATGGCGCAGATAGTTACACCATTCAATGATAGAGCCTTAATTTTCTTTTTCAAGCATCAGAAAAATTCTTTTCTACAAAATTTCATAATTGAAATCCAACTACCAACGCATTGACAAAACAATCCAACACGTACAGAAACTAACAAAGATGATTATGTCAATCTGCCATTAGGTCTAAACATATATGCAAAAATCAGACTAAGCAAACACACCAACTCACGTGGTAATCCGGCTGAAAGCACATTTGTATGTAAATGCTTCTGAGCATACTCTGCAGCTAATCGACCTCCATGCCCATCATAAATTGCAAAATGCGCACATCTGACCCAAAAAGAAGGCACCAAGAAGTAAATAAATTGAACTTTTAAAGCTTGCCATGTATAAGAGCAACAAAGCATTAGAACCTCAATTTTCCCGGAAAATCCAAGCTGGCGTCCAAGAGCACAGCCCAAGCGTCCTCCATGGCGTGCCGTAACCCCTTATCCTCGGCTGCATCAGCTTCAATCTTAAAACCCATTTCCCTCCCACCTGAATTTGGCTCATTGACCCCACTATCCTTGTTCCCTTCACCTAAATCAACATCTGGGTCTTGCTCTTGTTCGGTTTTCGACTTCTTTGCAGCTGAAATAGAGTCCTCGGAATTTCTTTCACGCTTTTGCTTTTGCTTTGGCGCTAGTTCTACCTCTTTTGGGGTCTCGTTCTTGGGGGCTGAATTGGAGGTTTCAGTTTCACTCATTGTGAACTCAAAACAACTGGTCACTATTTTCAAGAATCAAGAACACTAAAAGATATGGATGAAGCAAATTCGAGCTTCGAGCCTCCAATCAATTTACTCGCAAAAGAATTTTAACGCTTTTCATTGTTTTTTAATGCAAGTTGGGTTGGGCTCAGTCCCGAAAACAAGTGCAAGTTGTGTTGGGCCGGATCTGCTTTCTATTTCACGCCCAGGGCATAGCGTCCAATCCACTCCATCCATTTTTCTCTTTTCAATTCAAAAAAATAAAAAATACAGCTTGAGTGAGTTGGAGTGTAAGACTGAACTCAGGAAACCCTAACTGCAACAGAACAAACCCACACCAAAATTTAACGTCCACTACAAGAAAACCCATTTCGAAATCCATCGAAGACTAGATTCCCATTTTACCCTCCGTCCCTCACCACCAATGTTCCTTAGTACACTAATCGCCGGCTGATATTCCGACTCCACCTTCCACTCCGGCCATGTCGCTTGACGGCCGCCCCGGCGACCGCCGTGAAGGGCCCTCGCCGGTGACCGGGAACGGTGTCGTATTGGAGGACTCGAACCGGCCGGCGCTCGCACCCATGTCGAGCCAGAGGCTAAGGTTAATCCCAAACAAGGATCACAATCCGGATAACTACGATGACATGGAATTGGATTTCAGTCCCTCGATTTTCACCTCGCTCGAGCGGTTCCTGCCTCCGAGCATGCTCGGGATGCCTCGATGCGATAAGGTTAAGTTCATGACGGAGATTCTGCTCAAGTACTTGCCTCACGGAGAGCGTAACAGAGTAAGTTTTATCCATTTTTTCGTGTTTAAGTGTGTTTCTTGTTTTCTTCATTTGGTGGTGGTCCGTTTGGTTACTGAGAATTTCGTGGAAAAGGAATCAACTTGAATATGCTCGCAATTTTTAATCTTATTGATCGAATTATTATCGTTATTTTTGCCTCTTGTGATTTGGGCATTTAATTAGGGTTTCGCTGAGGAACTGTCTTCTAACGGGCAAGTGATTTGGCATAAAATTACGAAAATGCCCTTAAGCCCTGCTTTTTGTATGTAGGAAGGTGGTGTGGCAATCATCATCATTTTCTTTCCTTGCCATCTTTTCCTTTTACTTCTTTTTCCCTTATACAAAAAAGAAAAATAAAAAAGATTTGAAGTAAAAGAAAACAACGCAGAGAAAGTTCAGTGAACAGGTTGATGTAATTTTTCTACCAAAAAAAAAGAACAGGTTGACATGATTTACTACATAGTACACTATTCTAATTCGTGAAAAATCAAACAACTGATGTCGTTTGTGCATGCTATGTATCAGGTTCAGAAACATAGAGACTACAGGCAGAAGATTATATCAAATTATCAGGTACAGTACGACGCGACTCTTGATTCAATCCTTTCAATTTGTGGGTAAAATGGTAACTCTCAGTTGGTTTATTTTACGTTCAGAGCTCATGGGTTGGTGAATTGGATTCTTTAGTTTTTATGTTTTTTATCAGGCATAGTAACCCCGCAGTGTGCATGATTCATGTGCTGCTTTTAATATAATTCAAGCTTTGCCCGTGCAATTGGGTTTTCCCACCAAATAAAAATTGTCCATTTGAAGGAATAGGGACTTATAGAAGCTGAATGACATGTGTGCAGCCTTTACATAGAGAGTTATACAGTATGCACCCAGCAACCACCTTTGTGACGCCATTTCTGAAAGCAGTTAGTGATAATACTGAGGAAAGCTTCAGAAGGATAATGTCTGAACCCTCGCCAGGGGTCTTTACATTTGAGATGTTTCAGCCACAGTTCTGTGAATTATTGTTGTCTGAGGTATACTGTCATTGTATATTACTTATCTGCCATTCTAGATTTGGCTTGGCTTACCATTGTTCGTTTCTTTTTATTTCTTTTATGTTTCTTTGGCTGCCTAGGTGGAGAATTTTGAAAAATGGGTTAATGAAGCCAAATTTAGAATCATGCGGCCAAATACAATGAATAAATACGGTGCCGTTCTTGATGATTTCGGCCTTGAAACCATGCTTGACAAGCTTATGGAGAATTTTATTCGTCCTATATCTAAAGGTGATGCATTGTTGTCCTCTGTAAATACTTTAATATTTGTGAATTCACAAGAAGGTATTTTCAGTGAGGTTGGCATGTATTTTGATTTAATCTGTTAGCTTAATCTTTGTTGCAGTGTTCTTTGCTGAAGTTGGTGGATCAACTCTGGATTCTCATCATGGTTTTGTTGTTGAATATGGCGAAGATAGGGATGCTGACTTGGGTTGGTATTTTGTTTAATTGATTTTAACTTTAAAATGTTATCCTTTTGTAGTTATATATGATGTTGTCAGTCCACATAGCCTCTGCTGATGTGATAACTTATAGGTGCCCTCTAAAACTACAAAACTTGGCTCTAATCCACTGCACTATTGTGGTTGTAGCAGTGATACTAGACACCTTTCCATAGCTCGAATGTGTATTTGATTAATATGCTGTTTTAAAAATGGTTGTATGGTGCCAGTCACACATTTGTTGTACATACACGCCTTACCTTTGACAATACATTGAAAGTTTATGATGGTAGAATACCCTCAAATCATGTGCTATAAGTACTCCTCTTCTGTCAAATGTAGATGCATAAAATTAATTTCATATGTGTAGGTTTTCATGTGGACGACTCTGAAGTAACTTTGAATGTGTGCTTGGGTAAGCAATTTTCTGGAGGAGAATTGTTTTTTCGAGGCACGCGATGTGATAAACATGTAAATAGTGGAAGCCATTCAGAGGTATGTTAGTCATTAAGATGGAGAGAAAATTAATTTATACTTTGCGCAGGGCAGTGCAAACACTTTTTCAGTGTTTATTCGGTAGCACGTGTCCATTTTCGAATATAAGATCACTAATGTTCTCTTTAATTCAAAGTTTTGAATATTATAATTTTCTATTGATTTGACGTACTGAAACCCGTGGGTGGTTGTAAACGTATTGATGGAGTATGTTATTTAAAAGCAGGAGATCTTTGATTATTCACATGTCCCAGGATGTGCTGTGCTTCATCGTGGCCGTCACCGGCATGGTGCTAGAGCAACGACATCAGGTCATCGCATCAATTTACTTCTATGGTGCAGAAGGTATTCTTTGGATTCTAATTTTTCACAATCAGTTATACATTTTGATAAACTTCCTGTATCTTACTTTATGGAATCTGTCTAGTAATCTGGGGGACTTCTTCCCATGTGTGTACAAGTACTCCTTCTGACAATTTTAATTGGATGCTTATGTTGTACTATGAACATTCATGTATGAGTTTTCTGTTTTTCGCATTCACTGTTCCCACCTTTCATGAAATCAGGAATATGACTTGGGAGATCTTTTCTCCCTGTTCTTTCCTTCCTAGATTATGCCTTATATTGGAACAAAAATTTTGAAGAAGGCATTCTCGGGTTACAAATTTTGGAGTGTGAGATGGTAATGGCAACAACACTAGTTACAAAGGAAATAAATAAGGTGAAATTTAATTGTTAGCAGATAAGAAACCTAGCATGGCGGACATGCATAGAAGTTAAGAACAAAGAAGGATCTAAATGAACGCATCTTTGGAAGTAGGGGAGGTGCCCATTTCTTTTTCCTAATAGCAGTTGCAGGCATTTTGGAAGTTTGAATATGTCCTTTCCTACAACAGTTTCGTTTAAAATGGATATCATTACCACCAAATCAATGGAATTTCTTTGAAATCCTTCATTTTCCAATTGTTTTATGTAGCATTAGTGTGGTAGGATCCTATTTGTAATATTGAACTCAAGTGTAGGATTTGAAATACTTACATCTGCCATTACCCAAACTAAATTATCTCCTTACAGTTCTGTATTTAGAGAGATGAAGAAGTATCAGAAAGATTTCTCCAGCTGGTGTGGGGAATGCTTGCGTGAGAAGAAAGAGAGGCAACGCATGTCAATCAGAGCTACCAAAAGGGTAATGTATTACATAGATGCATGTACACAGTCACTGTATATGGGAAGTGAAGGATCGGATTTAACTAGCCAAGTCATTGTGAATCACACACACAAGCACATGCACAGACGGTGACAGAATATGATGCCTACCTAAATCTTGCATAAATCAGTTAACATGTAAAGCATTTATATATAAGGAAAGCTGCCTTCCTGTTATTGCAGCACACACATTCTCTATTTTTATATCAAAATGGACTTAGGTGAGTTGTTCCCCTGCAGGAGTTGCTCAGGAGGGAAGGTGAATCCACGGCATGATCTTTCTTTAGTGCTTATATACGCCCTTGTGTTGTAAAATTATGTATTTTTAACCTTAGTCATCCAATGACCAGAAGACTGGTCTACTCTTGATGAAACTGGAGGAAAGTTGTGCTTCTGTGAATCATTGTAAGTCAGGACGTGCCTGCGTTTGTACATCAATTGTGTCAAGAAATGATAACTTCTCTTCTTGAAGCATGCTTCATGCACGAAACTTATGTAAAAAGAATTATCTGAGTCCATTATAATTTATATTTATGGACATCTGAAAGTTTGTATCTAGTCTTAGGTAAATTTGTATTTTCATGATTGACAAATATATATATTTTTTTTTGCGATTCATGATTGACAATTGTTATCTCTGTTTATATATAAGCTTCTGCTATCTTTTTCTTTTCTTTTTCGGTGTGTGGAAAATATGCTTTATTCAAAACAAAAGAATACGACCATAAGAGTGTACAACACATAGAACTGAATCATCCAATACTATCTAATACCTTTTTTTTAGCACTATCCTCATTCAACAAAAAGAAAAGTAAAAATTTCAAAATGCAACTACTCCATTTTAAGCACTATCCTCATTTAACCAAAAAAAAAAAAGTTTCTTTTTGGAAAGGAAAACGGAAAGAAAACAAAATTTGTTAAATATAAGGAAAAAGCGTGCAGCCCAAAATCATTTGCTTAAAGTAAAAAGTAAAAAAGGTATTATTATGTATCTGTAATTCTGTACTGTGTGCAACTCTTTCTCTTGTTTGGCCAGTTGTAACTTGTATGCAACTATTTCTATATTTATATTCAAATTTAGTTTGTGCCGACAGAAAAGA